GCCCAAACACTAGGAAAAGTTTTGTTTTCCATTTCTTTCCGAAATAACGCTATCAACAACCATCACGCACACGGTGATACCACAACCAACACAGAACATAACATTTCTATAATGATAGTTAATAGAAATAACAACAGTACTATCAACACAAAAGTATAAAAACTATATCACACTTTCAAAGATAAGCATATGAGCTTTATCTACACTTCTTTAGACAAGAATAAGAGTTGTGTCATCACCACAATGGGAGAGCATATGAGCTGCATCCCTGGGTCCATCCCCCATTCTTCCTAAACCATTAACCGGTTTAGAGGTACATCCCCCATCTTCCCCTAAACCGTGGAGTACATCCCCCATCTCCTCCCATACACAAGCAATGCATATAAACACAAGGGTTCTATACACAATCAATCAATACAAAGAATTAATGTATTCAATCCACCGTCATACTCTATGACACGTCCATTCGATTAGTTTTAGTTTTCCTAATCATCATGCAATGTCTACAACAAACGAGACTAACTTCAAGGTGACCGATGTCGACCCAAAACCTGATACCAACAAGCTGACTAATCAACTCAACAAACCACCACTCTTAGTAAACCACATACTGAAGTGCCACTAACCCCAAACACGGAGTTCCCCACACAAACCCCCAAATTTTGGAATCTCAATGGATCTCCTAAAATCGAACCACATCAACACTGTTTCTAAGGGAATTACCACCCTCCATGGCTAGATAGCAAGTTTGCTCATCTCCTCAACTGAAGACCGACAAGGTCAACTCTAATTACGACTACCCAATCACGAAGGATAATTCAACCAACGCTATTCTCGTTACTAGAACACAAACTGTTTTTCCTCCAAAGAATGCTGCCAGCCTCCACTCACAAACCATACCCAACAATTGATAACCAATCTCAACATGAACATTACCCCTATACAACCGATGGGGTCACCACGGACTCGCTAACTAGCAAGACCCAAAACACGAACCAACCAACAGGTACCATTCTCGCTAACTTGAGATACAAATCTCACATTCCTACGACATTCACACATAACCTTGCCAACATCCGCAACTCCCAAAACCACCACATCTAACACGTATTCCCACGGATTCCCGTTCTCAACAAATAATCATTAAAGTGAATAAGGCACACAGACCGTCACACAACCAACTCATCATACAGTACCAAGCAAGCAACAACGTTAGGATCATTGACCCCATTAACAACTTCTCAATATAAAAGAGAGCTTAAAACCCATACATACTCCCCAATACCTGAGGATTAAACGAACAACACTATGCGTACATAAGCGATACATAAACATGGTGCCTCAGCATCCAACAGTACTCCGGTCAACAACAAAATCATCCACATAATACATTACCGGTCAACAACACAAAAGTCCCCCTCCAGGTTAATACTATAGGGCTACCTACTAAGTCGCCCCTCGCGAGGCTCTCGAAGCCTAGCCCATCCGTTTCTGGTACCGATAGCGCCCCGGACTGGACGGGTACGACTGAGTCTGACTAGGTTTTGAAACACTTGCAGAATTCACACGCAAAAGGCAAAAACGTCTACCATGGCCCCGCTGGCCACAAACGAAACAACCACCAGACCCCTACTCTGAGACTAGTCTGAAACCTGCACCTCCCCGGGCCTTCCAACCAAAGTGTCCGAAACCCCTGACGAAGAAAATGAACCAGCCCCCGACTGAGCATGTTTCTGCCTCCACCCCTTACTGAGCCTAGAGTATTCAGGAACCGAAGGACTTACCGCAATGGTCTCCTCCTTAACCCCATCATCACTCACAACCATGGCCGCCACATGGGCCGCTGCCTCAACTAAATAATAATAATCCTTCCAAAAGGATCCAGCTACCTTCTCCCGAATATCGAAACACAACCGCCTTTCAAACTCAAAACAACGATGCTCCTCTGGTGCCACCAACTCTGGAGCAAACCTCGACAAGCTAGCAAACCGCGTCTCAAACTGTGCCATAGGAGTATCATCCTGACGCAACTCCAAAAACTGATCCCTCAACCTTTCCCGAGCAGAAGGAGGGAAATACTTGGCCAAAAAGGCCTTGGTAAAAGCAACCCACGTGCTACCCACATTATTCTTAACATACTTCCACCAATAACTCGCATCACTCTTCAACTGAAAAGTCACCAAAGAAACCCTCAACTCCTCATCTTCGACTCTGAGCATATCAAGAGTCTTGGTAATCTGCTCTAGCCAACTCTCTGCCTCTAACGGTTTTGCCTCCCCCACAAACTCAAGTGGACTGGAGCGAAAGAACTCCTTAGAAAGTTTGAGAGCATGCCCGTTGCCGCCCTCAGTGCGAGCTAGGGCGTCCTGCACTGCTCTCACAATCTCACGTGCAACATCCTCGCCGACAGCCGATGCTGCAACGGCAGGTACTAAAGGAACTGTTGTGCCTCTCCCGGCGCTCCTACTACTCATCCGACCTCTACTCCCTCTTGTAGATATCCTATTAAGCACAAAGGCAAAATACACTTAGCGTAAAACACAATAGCCTTCTCCAAGGCACACTCCACTATCATTAGGTTACAAGACACACTTAGTCAAAATTTATTTGGTCGCCGAAAGTGTAACATTTGCCTACTAAATTTATTTTAGTCGGCAAATGTTAGCTTTCGGCCACTAAAACTATTAGTCGCCGAATGTGACTTTTGGCTACTACCATTCCTGTGGTCGGGGAAGGTGTGACTTTTTGCTATGAAAGAATTAGTCACCAAAACTTAACATTTGGCTACGAATCCGTAGTTAGTCGGCAATCATGACATTTCGGCCACTAATGTTTTAGTCACTAAAAGTTGTAAATGGAAATTTTAACCAGCGATTAATTACTTTTTGCTACCAAATGTTTTAGTCGCCAATTGTTTTTGCTACTAAATTATTGGTCGCCAAAAAATACCAACTACATATTTGGCTACCAAAATATTTGGTGGCCAAATATTTTCTATTTTTTTTTTTTACCAAAAAAATTCTAAACAACTTACATCAATGTTTAATACAACCTATACGTACATAACACAGGATTCAATATAACCCATATTGTCACGCCCCACTTTTTATTACTCGAAGTCATTACCAAATTCATTAGCTTAATTCAATTACAAGGATAACATGCGGAAATAAACTCATATGTTCAATCCGTAGAAGTGATTAACGATACTCTCATTCGTATGGAAAGTAAATATTACATGAACATACTTAATAAATTGCCCTTGGGCTTACATCACTTAAGGTACAAGAAGAAGGGTGTATCCAAAACATTAATATTGAACGTCCCATTCTATGTATAATACAAATTCCATACGAACCAAGTCTAATCCAACGTCAATAATTTCATGTCATACATAATACAGGACTAACCAAATTAATTTCCAAAAAGGACATATGTACCACAACATGTCCTAACTTAAACTTGTTTGTCAGAATCTGTCTTTTACAAACATATTTTAAGAAGATTATATGAAGGCTTATAAATACTAGACAAAAAAATAGTGAATGTTTCGATTTCTCTCAGCATTGTCAAACCAAAGAATCTTTCTGAATCATGGCAGCGCAGCCATCATTGTCCGTTTTGCAGCCTCACGCTTCATCTCTGCTGCTTTGCCACTGCCACGGAAGTACATGTAAACATCCTGCATAATATAAATAAAATGAAAAAATAATAAGATTAATACCAAGTGTCCATGAAAATAAAATTAAAAAAATAGCCATTCAATTCTAGGTAAAACATATTTGGAAGCTACAATTTTAATTAGTATAAACAAGTAACTGCTCCCTCCTCCTCAATTCAGCCTCCTTTGCTTGGAGTTTCTTTCTCCTTTGTTCTGAAAGCCTAGATTGCAGCAGAGGATAATGAAATTAACAAAGCTTATCTCTATGCATAAAAATAGTAAACAGGTTCAACATTCACTAAATTAGTCTGATAAAGTGAAGCTAGTTCCACTAAATTAGTCTGATAAAGTCAACTTACCCCAGTTTGAGGGGTTTAATGAATGAAGAGCATTACAACAACAACAACCCACAAAAATCATAAATAAAAATGGAGAAACAAGCGACATTTGCACTCCCATAATATTCAAGCTGGTAATGATGAACATAGTAAAGGCCAGAAATATCTATTCAGAAGGCAAACAATTTAGCATTTGCAGTTTGCTTCCTAAGGTAAGACAGAATCACATTAAAAGCATTGAACAAGCTTCAAGAAATTTTGTAATTGAAACCAAGTGTATTTGGATTTACGTCACATTGGGACTGATAATGATGTAAATGATAGCTAACTCTCATGCTTGTAGTTTTGTCTCCTTTTTGACTTCACTGGCAATATGGACACCAACCCAACCTCACCTCTTGTTTTGTATAGTTAAAAATGATAATATAGATATGACAAAGTGAACTCAAAGAAAATGAGCAGTAAGGAAATGAAGTCCTGTATAGGAGTAGTTTTGTCTAGGACATGCTTCTTTATTCTTCTAATAAGGAAATGAGCAGTACCTTCAAAGAAAAACATAGAACAAGGTTTTTCAAAAATAAAGAAGCTCGGCACAGATAAGTGAGTAGACAATGGAGCATGAAGCGTGAAGACGATTCACTAATATATTATCAGCAACTGTGAAGACGATTCACTAATGCCATGTTCATCTGGCTTCAAAGACAATAGAGCATGAAGCGTCAGTTTTGGCAATACCATTCAACTTAACAAGCTCATATCAATGGCTATAGAAGAGAAGCAAAGAAATTCAGTTATATATATATATATTTTCACACATATATATGACACAGTTATACATACCCAAATTACTCCTATACAGGACTTCAAATATAGTAGAACTAGCGTAGTTAGAAATTTCATTCAATGGGATCATTCAAAAAGTTGAGTAGAGAATTTTATGACATAATTTTAATTCTACACATACCTCAAGTAATGGGGAACACCATATTGGTGAAACAGTTGGAGGAGTTGCTATTGCCTTTTCCAACATTTCTGATAAAAATTCACTAATGTTTCATTACATTCATGAATTTAAATGCATGCAATTCAACAGAATTAACAGTACCAAATGAAGCTAGCTTACCCAAACAAGAAAATTACCCAACAGAAAAAGTACACTAACTGATCAAAGTCAATGAAGTATGTACTATTTGCAGTGGTGACTGCAAACAGGTGGGACTGTTAGCATAAAATTAAGCTCGGCCCAAGTTTGTTTTTACTGTGGAGTACCTAAACACATGGATAAATGCCTTTAACATGTGTTAAGGGCTCTATGGTTGGAATCATTTATAGAAATTTCAGCCACCTGGCTAAAGAAATATACCAGTCATGGCTAGAATTTTCAGTGGGGAGCAGAGCATCATCAGTGGGGAGCCTCAAATCATCCTTGGTGTTTCCATTTTCAGTCAAAAGACTCACCTAAACAAAATGCAAATTTCAGTTGCCATTGTGACATTTTGTCGAGCACCTTGCAGACACAAAAAGTATATATCATGATTCATCTTTGCTATACACAGAGAAACTATACAGATGAGAGAAAAAACAATCCAAAATCAGCAAATAAAGATCAAACCATTTCAGAACTGAATTCAAAACTAATTCACTCATCAGATCAGAGAAGAACCAGATTTCAGAAAAATAGAGAGAGAAATGGAAGTTTTCTTACCTGTGATAATGGTGGCCCGGAGATCCTTGGTCGATCTAGAGATAATTTCAGAGAGATCAAAGAGGAAGGGCTGAGTCGATCAAAGTGGAATCGCA